AGGAGGTGCTGCTGGCCTGGCATCTCACACGCGGCCTGTTACCCTCACAGGCCCCCAGGGGCCCATCCCTGGCCGCTCGGCACGGAGAAGAAAGCTGAGGCCCCGGCAGGAAGGGCTGCTTGCCGCTCACCCAGGGCTCCTGCTTCATCTTGCTGGCCCGAGTCCCCGGGGGTGTCCTACCTGGGGCCCTGTGCTCCTGCTTGTCCAGTGGGGGCTGGGCGAGGCCACCTCTGAGGGCCCATCTGGGACCTGGGGTTCCAGTTGCTGTTAGAGCCTCAAGTGAGCCTGCTGATCCAAGCGTGGAAGTCAGGCTCGTGTCATGCGTGGGAGGGCTGAGTGGGGGGCTGCCACGTGGGGGGCAGCTCCTGTATATAGCTGAAAGGGCCTCAGCCCCAGGACCAGGACCTCCAGCTCCTGTCCTCTTGGGGCCTCGTCTCCCCTCTTCTGCCTGGTGGTCCTACCTCTCCGTCGTTCTGTCCACTCCCGTCCGTCTCCCAGCCCAAAAGCCCTCTAGGGGAAGGATCACTCAAGCTGCTGCTTGGGCCCCGCCAGGCCCGTCCCCTAGCCTGGGACCCAGAGCTCCAGACACCACCTTCAGACGACACTTCTCTTTGGCCCCTGAGCCCGGGTGCCATCTGTCCCGGCTCCAGCTCTGCGCGCCCTGGCCAGCTCCCTCCCTGCCTCCCTGGGGAGGTTGTGGCCATAGCAGAGACCTGGGAATCTGGCCCAGAAGCCTCACCTCATCTATTTTTAAGCACAAGCCCATGAAAGATTCACAGGCTGCTTTATTTACAGGTTGGGGGTGGCCTTGGCCACCGAGAGGTCTGAAAACTTGCGGGCCTAGGGGAACTCTGCCTGAGCGCCCCAGGGCAGCCCAGCCGGGTTCTCACCTGTGCGCCCTCGTCCCCCCACCCACACCCACAAGGCTCTCCGGGGTTCCTCCCTTCCTCCCATCTAGCCTGATGCCTGCCTTCCAAGGATCTTCTTCACCTCCTGGAGATGGCCCCCACTCCCGCCAGAGGGAGCAGGGCTCATAGGGAGCTCCGCCCCCCACCATGCCCACAATCAGCTGCTCCCCAGCCCGCATCCCTGATCTTGCAGGATTGCTGGGACACCCCTTCCTGAGCTGTCATCCTGATCCCGGTCATACTTCCTCCCAGGCAGGAACCTACCTCCACACGTAGGAGACAAAGTCAGGAGTGGCCCTTGCTGGGCCAGCCTGGGCCATGGGCTCAGCTCCTCCCAGCCACTAGTGAGCCTAGTGTCCCCATTTTATAGACTAGAAAACCGACACTCTGGAGCTTTGGGTAACATGGACTATGAAGCCACATCTCGGGACTTCAGAGGCTGGGTGCCCCACCCCTGCCCCAGATGCCACATGGCGGGGAGAGGTCACACAGTGCTCACTTTATCTCAGCTTCAGGCATGGAGAGCCCTGGCCCTTCCCTCCAGACATGTCACCCAACCCGAGAGAAACCTGGAGACCACAGGGCCTCACCCGGACCCCGGCAGAAGGAGGCCCTGGGTGGGTAGGCAGGTGGGCTGGTCAGCCTCTGGCAGGTCTGCCTGTGGGAGCCAGCAGCCCCCCGGCCGCCAGTTTCCCGTCGCCCAGCACCCGGCACCTGGCACCCGGTGATGGCCCCAATCCTTGGCTGTGAGCTCCTGTGGGCCTCGGGAGGTGTGACAGCTCAGTCCCAATCATGTCTCCTGGTGTCATGTGCTGTCTGGATGAGCCCCAGAAATGCCCAGGAGGGCTCTCGGCCGTTATCTGGCAGGGACTGGGACCGACTCAGTCATGAACTCCCCCAGGTCATCGTGGGGACCCCGGGCCCCCTGACGGGGTCAATCAGGACACTGGCACATCCATGCCCATCAGACCAGGCTTCCCTGCTCTGGCCATGCTCTGGGGCTGAACTTGAGTGGAGCCATGTCAGTCCCTGCTTAGTTGAGAATCACTGATTTAAGAGAAAATCTCTTTTCTCCACCAACCCAGAAGATTCTTCAGGGCTTCACTTTCTAGAAACAAAAAAGGTTTTGTTAGCTTTCCAAGTAGGACTTTACGGTATTGAGTATTTCTTTCAGACCCACACCGGAGGAGTCTGACGCCCCACGCCACAGGCGTCCCCTCAGCCCCCAACCCCTCTCCCCTGCCCCATCAGGGGAAAAGGGCTTTCTTTTCTTTCAGTGTTTGCCCAGGAGGAAACTGGGGAAGGTGAGATTGCGTAACAGGCTCTCTGTCTGTATGAGGACACGCAGTGTGCCCAGACCTCCGCCCCCAGGAACTGGAGGACAGGGCAGACCCCCAGCAGCTGGCAGCCTCGGGGCAGCAGGTGTGGCACTCGGTGACCAGGGTTAGGCTCCTCCCCTGTCACTCCAGCAGGGGGACTCTCGCCTCTAGGAGGCCATTTTGGGGTGCACTTGCTGGGGAGTAAGTACCTACTGAGCCCGGCATGGATCTCAGCGCTGGTCATGCACCCACGAGCAAGACAGATGGGCCCCAATGAAGTGGCCGTCTGACCAGGTCAGGGAAGCTCAGCAAGCACACAAACCTGCAAACATGTCACAAAGTTGTAGGAAGTGCTGGGAAGAGGGTCAGGGTGAGGCGGGACAAGGTGGGTGAGCGAGAGGTGGAGGGGTCCCGTGGAAAGGGTGCTGCTCAGGGACCAGAAGGAAGTCCCCTCGGGTAAGGCGGCCCTTTCTGCCCTGCAGGGCTTGTCAGTCCTGGGTTCCATTCATCCCGTCCGGACCCCCCGAGGACCTGCGGCTGCAGGCATGGCCAGTGACCCAGCCTCCTCCCGGCTGCAGCTGCACCCCTGGATGCAGGCCACCCACTCCCACCCACTCCCACATGCTCTCCGGCTTTGCTGCCGCCTGCCCAGGGGCCCATAAATCCTACAGCCTGCGGCCGGGGCAGCAGGAGCCTGTTGCAAGAGTGGAAAGAGACCAGCTCGTGTATTGACAGGGACACAAAGCTGTGTCCTCACAGACGGACCGAGACTGAGCCGAGATGCTCTTATCGGTCCCACTGAGAAACACCACGTGTGGAACTCAGGTGAAGCAATCTTCCCCACGGGGAAATGCTAGGAACATCTGTGAATGGGCTACTACGCCCTTGCAGGGAGCCCCACCTTCCCTAGAGCGAGGGGTCCCCATTTAGCTCAAGAGCGAAGCTTTTGTAGTTGCGGTGAACACGGATCAGTTTTGAGGCTGCAGCTCTTTCTGCCCACGGGTCTTGTCCCTGTGCTTTAAGAAAACCACCATTTGCCCTGAAAAAAAGAAAAAGAAAAAAAAAAAGAAGAGAGAGAGAGAACAGATCAGTTTTGGGGGCTGTCAGGAGAATATTTCAGTAACAGATTGCCTCAGCATCTGAAAAACCCAGGAGACCCATAAGGTACTTCCTGATGCCCTTAGGAGTGCCAGGCGCCCGTGGGCATTTTGGGAAATTGCAGCAGACACAGGACCCCAGCCAGCCAAGAGAAGAGGACAAGTGCAAGCTCAGTCTGCTCTCTGCGACCGGTGGGCTGCCCCTGCAGCCGTGACCTGGACATCCAGCCAGGGCCCTCCTTCCACCCCAAGCCAAGCGCTAAGTGACCGATGCGGCCAGGCTGGCCGAAGGCTGAGTTGATGTGAGCACAATCGCCCTGTATCTGCTCCTGGCCGCGGTGACGCACTGTTCCTGGCACCCAAAGCGGGCAGCCCCAGCCGCGCCCAGAAGCCCGCCCCATTCCTACTGCCTCCACCCAGAATCTGTGTGTGCCCCTCAGGCCCGCGGAGCGAGGTCGCCTCCCGCCGGACCAGCCGGGTCTCCCTGCAATTGCCCCAGGGGACCCGAAGGAGCAGGTGGCCCAGGCGGCAGTCACTCGGGCGCGGTTCAGGGGCTCCTTTGTGTGGCGACCGGGCTGCCAAGGAAGTCGCGTCCTTGGGTCGACTTTGGAGCTACGCTTCTGGGTTAAGGGGCGTTGGGGATGTGGGGAACACAAGGCGGGGCGGGGCGGGGCGAGGAGGCCCAGACCGCGGGGGGCGGTGCCAGAGCCCAAGTTTACCCGCCGCGCGGGCTGCGGGGCCGGGACGCGGATCGCGCGGCCAGGAGCTAGGTGACCGGGCGGCGGGGGCAGGGGGAGTGTCGCGGGGCGGGGCGGGGCGCGCCTCACCTAGCAGCTTCCTGGGCACGCTCGCTCCCCTCTCCGCCCC